TGCTGTCCACCATCTGATGTCAATATCTGTACTTACCTGCCCCTTTGTGATGACATGGAGCAGACCAACACCCAATCACTTTAATGACTCTTCCCCATCAAAGGGAAGAATTAAAAGGATTCAACCATGAGCAGCTATTTGCCACTGTCTTGCTAAGTTATGTGTGCTCTTTGAGCTATAGCCAGGCCATGTTTTCTTAAGCTTTGGCCTCCCCCCCTCCCCAATTTTTCTCTCTCTCCAATTTATCTTCTAAATAAACTATATTTTCTAATCTAAAAAAAAAAAAAAATTAAAAATACTATATCTAATTTAGGGAAAATAGGAAGACAGATGCAGCTATCATATGTTAGCTACTGTGCTGTGTACATATTTTGTGACTTAATACTGAATGCTGATGATCAGAATCAATTGCCAAGAAAATGTTGAACATTTAAAAATGCCAATAACTGGAAGAAACCGAAAAATGTGTTAAAAGATCTACGCTCTCCTCCAAAAGGGGATAGTCTCATATGCTTTTACAAATGAGGTCTAATGTACTCTTATGAAATAAATATAATTCCTATGCTAACATGCCAGATTATAAGAAAAACAAGAAAGCATTTGAACACATTTACTAAAGCTAACATAACAGTAATAGCAAACCTAATGAAGACAGTGTAAAAAATATAAACCAAAGTCATGTATACGGGGGGGCCCCCTAAAAAAAAGTAATTACTTTAGGGACAGCAGACACCTTGAAATATAGGCACCCCCTGCTAGGTTACTGTTCTAGGAACCCATTGGCGTCAATATACCAGCTAGTGTTTTTTTGAGAGCTGTATCTGACTTCAGTGATTTTTTTTTTTTTTTGAAGATTTTTTCAACGTGCTTGCCCATTTCATCACAGGTGATTTACAAACATACCTGCCCACACTAAGCTGAGTGTTCAGCAGTTTTTGACCAAAAATGGCATGATCCCCATTCCCCACACTCCCTGTTTACCCAATCTTGCCTTGAGCAACTTTTTTTTGGTTTCATCTGATGAAAAAAGTCCTCCAAGGGAAACATTTTGCTAATGCGAAAGAGGTGAAACAAAAAAAACAACAGAAGCACTAAAAGGCATCAAAATTGACAAATTCAAACACTGTTCTGAGTAGTAGGAAAAGTGTCTCGATAAGTGCACCGCATCAAATAAAGAGTGCTCTGAAGGTGACTGAAGTTAAGACATGCAAGAATACACAATTTTTAATAAATTCCAGGTTTTTGGGTCCCCCTTTTAGTAACACAGATGGCAGGAAGCTCAAATAAAATTCTAGTGAGCTAAATTTAAATAGTATACATTTAAATTTATCTAATAAAAATTTACAAAGAAAAGTATTTTAAGTAAATGGTGAAAAGAAAAATTTTATAACCTTGGGTTAAAGTAGATCTTTTAATATGGTAATAAAATTCTAGAATTCATAAAGAAAGAGCAAGATTTAAGTGCATGATATTTTAAAAACTTCTTTATGGAAAAAGGTACTCTAATTCAATCAAAAATGGCAGGGTGGGGAAAAACATAGGGAAAATGTCCACAGATAGGTAAGATATAATAAATGCGACTACATTTATACCATAGAATACTATATGTACTAGTAAAGACAACGTAATAGATATACTATCTTCACTTTAAGTAGGAAAGCCCACAATGTACTTGAGTGATATAAGTTACAAAAACATATATCAGTAAAATCTATATTAAAAAAATAATCTATGTATGTGTGCTGTCATACACATACATAGGAAAACATACACAGTGCTAAGAGTGGCTACAAAATGGAACTGTAAGAGACCATCATTATTAGCTTTATTTTAGACACCTCCTCTGTTCTGAATTACACTATGTATTTATTACTTATGTTTTTCACATGACAATTTTCTTTTAAATGACATACTACCAGCTAGAATTTTTCAAGTATCAATCATTGACCTTTACCAAAAGCACTCATTAATTACAAACAACTGCCACATGTTTACATAGGATTACACGCATATATTACTGAATTACAGATGGGTGAAAATATACACAGAAATAAGAGAGGTTTCATAAACAGACATATACTAAAGAGATGATTAAAAGAGAGAAAGAGGATATTTTATGATAGTAGTCATCAAGTTAAGTCATATAAAACTGCTGATTTTGTAGATCCAAAATAGTATTGACAATTTTTAAGAGAAGGAAAAAAAAGTTATATTAGAAAATGAAAAGTCCTTGGTGCAGACATGGCACACTTGCTTCCTGCTTCCCACTGTACCTGGACTAGAACCGTATGCATAAGGTAACGCTAGTAATAACACTAATAACAATAATAATGATGACTAAATTTTGAATATTTAGTATCAATCAGATACTACTTTAAATTCATAATACTGATAGAAATTATTTAAAACTCACAATGACACGAAAGAATGAAGTTTCTATTATCATCTCCATTTAACACCTAGGGAAACCGATACATAAGGAGGTAAAGTAATCTGCCCAAGAACACAGCTACAAAGCAGTGGCAAAGGCAGCCTGCTTGCTAATACCTAGGTGTAAGCTACTTCCTTCTTGATATATGTTGCAGCTATTCTTATAAGTGATTTTTCCACAGAAAGAGAGCAAGTAGGGGAGAATCAGGGTAGTTAAGAGTAGCTACTGAAATAATTACAGATACTGAAATCATTATTAACAACTGACAAAGAACAAAAGATTTTTATGCTATAATGAAGCGAAATTTCAATCTCTACCCAAAAATCTGCAGAGCTATTGAAGACTCTTACCTCAGATTCAAACGCTTATTAACCATATTATTTATTTGGGATTACACACTGGGAGTTGCAATATGCCTAATATATTTTGTTTAAGAAAACTCTCTGATCAGTTTGTTTCACAGATTTGATGCTTGCCCATGCTTTCTTATTGCACCATCAAAATCAGAGGGTAAACCATGAGCCAAAAAAGAGAAATATATGAGAAATAAAAACTACACACAAAAAAGATAAAAAGGGAGCTCCCAGGGTGATGGTGAAAGGCAATCTCAAGTTATTAGTTATGTATCAGGAGTAAAGAAAAATCAATCCATAATAGAGCAGGTCATAAAGTTCCAGAACAGATGTCCCCGAGAAGACAAAATTGGTAAAGGGAGAATAAGAGGAGATTTAAGCAACAGGTGGAGAGTTTAGAATTGAATCCGTGATACACATACAAAACAAAGCAAACATAAAAACAAAACAAACTCTAAGGAAAATGAAAGCTGAGAGAAAAAAGGAAAGTAGAAATGTTTATAATTTAGCTCAATCCTATTTAGCATATATACTAATACTACTACAAACTCAAAATTTTCATTTGACAAAACTTAGGCTTTACACATATGCACGTGTGTGTGTGTGTGTGTGTGTTTGTGTGTATGTCTACGTGTGTAGGTGAGCGATGGGAGCTGTGTCTATCAGCGTATGTATGTGGAACAGGAGAAGAAAGAGGGCTCATCGTTCATATTCCACAGAAGGGAATTCAACAAGCAATGTATAAACTAAAAATCACAAAAGCACAAACATTCTATTTGAGGGTTCGGAATTAATGTCAAATAAAATTGGATAAATTAATTAAAAGTTGTTACCACTGTGGGGTTAGTAATTGCTGAAGTATGTACAATTAGTTGACTATTTAAATTGTATGACGATATTTACTTAATAAAAATGAGACTTCCAATTCAATACAAAAAGACAACCTGACCAAAAATGACGATGGCACTATAAATTATAAATAACCTTTCTACCAGAAATGGGTAACTTTAGAAGACACATATTCAGTGCTTTTTAAAAACAAGAAAATATAAACTACCTAGGCATAAGAATGGATTTTTAATTGTAAAATTAATAAATTAGTAAGAAATCAGGATAACTACAAAAAACTTGTTTTTCTTTTCTTCCCTTTTTCTAAAAATGTAGTTTTCAACCTTTCTTGTGGGATCTTAATAGAATAACCAACCTGTGCTGGAACCACTGGGTCTAGAACTTTCATAATTTAAGCCCTGCATTCTAGGAAACCTCTCAGTACTGGGCAGTATCAGAAGAGTTGGTCACCCAAACCTTAATGAATTAAAAAATGTTTATTCATATAAGGCTACTATGTACCAGGGTTTGTTTTGTACTATGTACTGAATAAAATAGTAAAAAAATAACCCTAGCTTTCTGAAGACCAAATTGGATGACAACAAGGTATAAGAAATTAAGAAAAAATTTTAGATTTTTAATGTCAAAAAAGAAAAGAATGAATATTTATTGTAGCGAATCATACGTTAACATAGCTGCTTAAAAAAAACACTAAAATGGGGAGGAGTGGAAAATTTGAAGATTTTGGTTAATCTAAATAAAACAACAAAACACAATGTACTTTCATTTTTCAAATATGTAGAAGCAAATAACATTGTTGTCAAAACACTGTAAAGCTCTAATATTAGAGGGAAAAAGATGTGATCATGAAATAATGCATCAGCTTGATTTCACATGTCTTGAACTGTCTAGGATATCAAAAATTAATTACAGGGAAAATGTAATTGAATAAAAAAGATAAATGAACAAATCATTTTATAAACAAATGAAATATCAAATGACAATAAAATTTAGTACTAAATGATAATATAATTTTTAAAATATTGTAATATTGATCAATACCATGAACTATAGGAAAAAATAAACTATTATTAGCAACAACTATTCAGTCCCAATTAATGCTCATCAATATCTTTATTTCCTTCAAATATAAAATACAATTCAAATTTCTTCTAACAAATCAGAGGCCCACTATTAGAATAACTCAGGTAAAATGCTTTGGTTTTTTTCCTGAATTATCTACATTAAAAGAAAAAGAATCTGTCCTGGATTCACGTATTGAAAAAGAAACCCACAGATTATTGTGGCCATGTCTAAGATAGGAAAAGAGAAAGCTTGTAGAAAACCAAATATAATTCAAAGAAATAAAACATTTTAAGAAGTTTAATTCAAAAAAAGGAAAACAGAAATGTTAATTGTACCTTAAAGAACCCTGCTTCAGGACCACATCTGTCATATACATTCCTGGATTTACCTATTGCCATGATAATACCTTGCATATTCGGTGTCATCATGATCTGCCACAGAGATTTAAAGTAAGAATTTTTGAATGGTTAACATAAAAAACTAAAACCAAAATAATGTATTTACATGCAGGTTGAAACTCCTTTGTTTCTCAACATTTATAAATCAAATGTTGTACTTTTAAATAACAAATGTGATCCGATGAGCACGTAAGCATCTTTCAAAATCATCCATGCAGGGCATAGCTGATTCATACGGTACCTTTGTACAACTGCAAAATGGCATTCTCTCTGAACTGAGGAATTTTAAAAAGGCACTCCCTTCCACACAAACAAGTTAGAAAAATGTGCTGTCCTCTGAGAGAACAATTTAGAAGAAGCAACACACTTTTTTTTAATCAATTAAAAACAATGCTTATTTCTCCAGGCTTGGGGAGCACAGCATGAGCTCAACTTCAATCCCACGCTGTCCCTTGGCTAGGCACCCCTGAACAACCTGTACATCCCTAAGCAGCAACCCTGTGTCCACATGATTTATTTTTAAAAGTTCCAATGCACATGCACATTAAATTGTCACACCAAAAAATTCAACACAACAAAACACACAACTTTGCCATAAGCACTTGTACAAAAGATAGTGTTAAATGACTAATCACAATTCAACTTTATAAAATGGCAGATGAAACACCCTAAAGCAAGCACTCAATGCTTGACAAATAAATTAATATTTTTATTAAAAACATGCCAGTTTCCATAATTTTCAAGAAGCAACATGGTAATAGAATAATTAACTGGAACAATTTACAACCATTAAGTACTAAACACTTTAGTATTTCTTTGTTTTCATATAGCTTATTATTCTTAGCTGTTTACATTTTAAAATAACTGCAAAATGAAATTACTAAAGGCACTATGAAGATATTTTATGGCAATCAACAGATTACATCCATTGCCTCTGATTCATTGAATCTATTATTCCTAGCATTTATTTTGGATTATGTACTGAGAATTACAATATATCTAACATTACCTGCTCAAAAAAACCCCTTTGACCAGGTCCTATCTCACAAGTCTGCATCTTACTCTCTTTATGGCCTATCCTTTCTTATATTGGCCCTGTGATATTAATGTCTTTGTGATACTTCTGACTTGGTGATTAACTCTTGCATATAATAGCCATTATAACATGGTAGTAAGTCTGAAAGAAAAGATACTTGGAAAAAAAAAAAAAAAACTAATATATATTCAATCCTCATCCATGCCCATAAAAACTAACAAAGGATAGAATCCAACAAACATTTCTTGCAAATCACTCCCTCTCCCCAATAGGCATAGACTTCCTTGTGTTAGCATTCAACAAAGCTCTACTGGCCCTTCCTCAAAAAACAAACAAACAACAACAACAAAATTCTAAGAGTCTCAAGAGAACAGTAGAAAAGAAGAGAAAATAATCATGATGGATCAGGGAAACAGATGATTTTTATCTGGAATGAATCCAGATGACAATGAGGAAAAAAAAATGCCTGCATACTAGTAGTTGGAAAACTGAGTAGATGACAATTAACAGTAAACAGGTCAGAAGAAACAAGATGGAGGTGCCACCATGTGTAAAATACTTGTAGGCAATTAGTAAGACTGATGAGAAATTTGATTCCCGGTCACATGGAGAGGTTATGGGGCTTTTTGGGGGGGGGGGTAGGTTTTTTTTGGACTTTGCATTTTTACTAAAAATATCAATTAACCAATTATCCATCCTGCAATCCTGTTATAGGATTTTATGATAGGTAATGGTGGGTGATATATTATAATACTTCAAATAGAGCAGGAAAAGAATATAAAAATTACTTTTAAGTGCAAAATTTTTACAAGCAAACAAATTGTAATCTGCCAATCTGAGAGAACACTAATCCTATTTCCGCATAAGAGACTTAACCCCAGAAACATAAAACTATTCTTCTGACAAATGCCATAAGCTATCTATTTACATTTACATTTGAAAGTCAAAGTTCTGTTAGTAATCGATAATTTCAGACTGGATGGCAAAGCTGTACGTTATGCAGCAATAGACATAAGTGAGGGTGCAGGCATGCCCAAAGTACTTGTATTAAATAGCAAAAATTAAGTAGCCATGGTGCAGAGGGCCATAATAAAGGTACCTCATCATCATACCCCCCCTCCTTTGAGTCAATCATAAATTTCCCTACATGAGGAATCGCGACCTCTATAACTTGCTGATTAGAAGGTGGTTGGCTTGTGGTATTTTCAGGTTTCTGCAGAAGAAAATCATTAATATTAATATCAGAAAAGAAAACAATGGAAGCACCAAGTTAAAGTGCATAGACTCATAAGTCTTTTAAAAATATCTGCATTTGCTTACACTAAAATGAAACCACCAAAAACTGAACATTAGAAGCAAATGCATTCATCAAGTAACAATACAAAATCCCCAAACACTTAAAACCAGGTTTTCTTTATTTTTTTCCCCACAAGGCATTCTGGATTCCAAGTACTTAGAAGTATAAATACTAAAGTTGTATTTTCTACTACTGTGTGTGCAGCTGAAGATTTTTAAAAAAAATTCTAAAAACTCGTGAAAACCTTTCTTGATATCTCAAACAAAATAAGATATGACCTTTTCTAAATTCAGCAGTCTGCAGGACATTTTCTTTGTGGGTTCATCTTTCTCTTCTTTCTGGTAATCAATTATGCATCCAGTTAATAACCAAATTCTATTGTGTTGAATTCACTCTGTACTGCCCATGACACTCCAGTACAGTATATTAACATCTTAAATATCTAACAAATTCTTGTTGAAAAACAAGAAAAAGCTATTGGAAAGTGATATCCATCTTTACCAATTCAATCAGATTTATTCCTTTTGTTCTTTTTATAAAACGTTACCAAATTCTATGCATTTCAGTAATTCACACTAATAGTGCAGATGTTAGTGTGAAATCCAGAAAAGTTCACTCAAAGACACTAATATGAGTCATTGAAAATGCTTTTTTGGATTTTACCTGGTCTTATTTTAGAGAATAGATTTTTAACTAGCATGTCTACTATTTACCTGTAAAAAAAAGTCAGAAGTATCAAAGTGCTTGAAATCATTTTATTTCTATTTGCACCATAAAAAGTAAGCAAACTTTAGTCTTGATATAAAATAAATCTTAATAAGACAATTAAAAGGATTTTTTTCCATTGGAAATATAAGGTAAATTTTAGTGATGTAAACATTTTCTGGCTTTTTCTGTATGCACACCTACACCACACACACACACACACACACACACACACACACACACACACACACACACACACACACTATATATGGATATACCTATATATTTACAGAGAGAGAGAAGGAAAGAAGGAGAGGGAGAGGGGAAGGGGGGGAGAAAGAGAAGGGGGGGAGGAGGCGAGGAGGAGGAGGAGGGGGAGGGAGAAAGTTTAATTAAACAATAAAAACAAAACTAATGGCCGAGATTGTTATTGTCCCTCTTAAAAGCAACGGTATTTTTGACCAGAACATTTTAAGAAAAGATTTCCATTATCAATTTATCCGAATCTTCAACTTTTCAAGAGGAAATAACCAATCTGCATGGCTGTCATGATCATGAGAGATAATAAGCAGCAACTCAACACCTGCTAGAAAACAGCTATTCTATAAATGACAGGTATTGCCAATATTATTGCACTATTTATTATGCTTCTTCAAATTGCTTATATTTGAGTAATTCTAACTTAATGTTACCATCACACATACACTACAGAGATGCTCATGTCCATGACAATAAGGATTTTTAATCCTTCCAGCATATTAAAGAATTGTGCTAGGTATCTGTTTTCACAAGAGTGAAATATAAGCAAGTAAATTAAGAAATCTGTAGTTTGTAATGATGAATTTCTTACCAGCAAACCAATCCAAACCATCCTAAGAATAGAAAACATAGCCGGGCTCAGTGGCTCAGCCTGTAATCCCGTGCTTTGGGAGGCCGAGGTGAGTAGATTGCCTGAGCGTGCGGGTTCGAGACCCGCCTGGGCAACTTGGCGAGACCTCATCTCTACAATAAATCAAATAATCAGCCGGGCATGGTAGCGTGTGCCTGTAATTCCGGCTACTCGGAAAGGCTGAGGTGGAAGGATCGCCGGAGCCCAGCAGGCCGAGGCTGCGGTGGCTGGGAGCGGCCACTGCACTCCAGTCTGGTCGACAGAGTGAGACTCCAACTCAAAAAAAAAAAAAAAAAAAAAAAGGAATAGAAAACATAAATTTAAGGAAATAAATACATTAAGAAATGCATTTCTTGGAATATAGAACTTTATAAAACATATAACCTTTAGGGAAAAGGTACACTTAGGAAAAATAAATGTTTTATAAGCCTTTCCAGTTACTGTTGAAGAGTTTCAATAGCATAATATGGATAATTCTATGGGTAAAAATTGAAAAGGGGAAGACATTTAGCTGCATAAAATAACTCTGTAGTATCATTTATCAAATTTAGATATCCGAAGGCATCTTAAAAATTTTTCATGTAAGGAATTTAGGGGCTCATTGAAGCAAAGTAAATGTCTACTTAACTTTTTATATTATTTTTAGACCTTATGTGAAGACATTAAACAAAGGCTAAATTTCAAGAATTAAAAATAATTTTCTTTGTTAATAAGTTGCAGAAATAATTAAAATAAAAAGATTTTTATTAACTGCCTGAATAAAAAGATTTTTATTAACTAGTTATATGACTTTTTAAAGTGGCCTCCTAAGAAAAGTGGCTATAAAGTTATATAACTATAAGTATATAATAAACATATTAATATGTTTATATTTATTATAGGCATATAACTATGGGAATTATATTCTAATAAAATAACCTGAAATATGGAAAAAGCTTTATTTCTAACAGTCTATAATAATGTAAACATCAAAACAAATATACAATAGGTGAATAGATAAGTAAACAATAATTTAATTATTCAATGAAGTAATAGTCAGCTGTTGAACATATTTTACTGAGTTTATAACATGGACAAACGATTAAGGGATTAAAGTTAAGTGATTAAAGGAAGAAAAAGCAAGACAAATTTTCTGAGCAATTCAACTACAAAAATAAATTCCAAATTTATGTATTAACATAGTGAAAAATATTCTTACATTAACTAACAGTGATTAACTCTGAGTAGTGAGTGAGACTATGCATAATTCTTTCTTAGAGTCTACTTTCCCTTTTTTTTCTCACATATCCTAAGTATTCAATTAAAAATGAAAGACATTTTTCTAAAAAGCAAACAGTCTAAATATTTGGAGACTGTCTATGATTTCTGTGGTCTAAGTTTTCAAGGGAATTCTTACACTAAGGCTGAAATTTAATAGATTGTTTATTTGTAAAATGGCTAGGACTGAAGTAACAGAAATGAATAGTTACTCAGTGCCTACTACATGCCATCCAGGCACTTTCAAAAAAAATATTCTTCACTAATCCCACAATCACTTTCATTTTATGAAAAAGAAAACTGAGATTTAGAGAAGTTAAGCAATTTATTCAAGGCTGTATTGATAAGTAAAACCAATATTCAATAACCCAGAAGAATCCCAAATGTGAAGATACTTTCAATGTGCAACTTCATTTCTAATGTACACCAAGTGTACAATATGAAGTATTTACCATGATCTTAAGCAACTGACAATAAGAACAAGAACCATAGTCTATCAAGGTTAACCATTTTAGATGTGCTTCAGGAATTATACAATGAGGGTACAGTGGATACTACTCCAGAAGACAAGTGAAATGGAAAGATATTTATGCTCTCTGTTTATCATATTCTCTCCCTGTCAATTTTCTTTCTCAAGCAAAGATGAGGCAGTAGGTGGCTGCCTTAAAAGTTGATTTCCATATTAAGAAACTAATAAATCAAAAATTAAAGGCTGATTTCTGTAAATGTAAATTACATATGATTAGCAAAAGTAGGAAAAAAAAGTCATGATTCCACATTAAGCTAAGTAATGCTTTTGGCTTCTAATACCAGCTAAAGGATGACACTTATTAACCATAATGTAGGCTCTGAAAAATAGAAGTTCTAATTAGCAAAGGCCTTCATTTTCCATGTCAGACAAAAGTATTTCTCCCTTGTACCTACTCTTCTGCCCTTTCTCCTTCCCTAGGATTTCTACTTCCTATCCCCCAGGAAGCAGACATCCCAGATCCACTAAACAAAGCATTTTCTAGGAAAAGTTTCAGAGTTAGTGGATGTTCATCTCAAATTCATTTAGAGCCTCTAAGGCAGTTGCAAAATTTGGAATCATCAATAAAATCTACCAATGAGTACATTTTAATGGTAGAATATTAATACAGGTACAAAACACACTCAATTTACTGTTATAAAAAAGAAACTGAAAACTACAATATAATAGTACAATAATGATGGTTTTTGCAAAGGACACTCTTGAAATATGCATAAACTGTTTTGCATCATATTATCCTGCTAATAATAACCTAATCTAAAATATCTAGTAGGTTTACTGTTAAACACATTTTATGGAACAATGACAATTATATCTTAAAATCCCAACTAATTCAAAGTTATAAGATTATAGATGGAGGGAGAAGTGAGGGACAGGAGAAATCCTACTAAATTTTATACTGCTCTTTTTAAAGTCCAAAGCAAATGGTCAATTTAATCTATGATTATGATTCATCATAATTCTCTAACGGGAAAAAGAGATTTAAGAGAGAAGCATCTTTAAAATTACAGCTCAGGATGTTACAGCCTTGGATTTAGGTTACATGCCCACAGCCACTGAGTATGTTCACAGCAGAGCCATCACTGAGCCCTGTCTGTCCTGACCCCAGACAGGCTGCTCTCCATTACACTGAAGGGGATGTTGTTACTGTGGCTATGTTCAGAGAGCCAAAAGAAAAGTTCTTACCGACTGCAAAACTGTTTCAGGACTTTTATCTTCATGCTCATGTGATGCCTTGGTAATTACTCGAATAGTTTCTTCTTTCAAGTGCTTTGAGAAATCACTTCTTGATGGCTGCTCTAGATATTCTGGTTCTCCTGCTTGTGGTGCTTCATGAGAAAAGAATCAATTGTATATCTAATATAAATCATAGCGTCTATACTAAGATGAATCTATTATTCATTTCTAAAACTGAAGTTATACAATAAACAATTTTAATCTTCTATTTAAAGTAACGTATATCTTTCAACATACAGCACTCCCCTCCCCCAGAATTTATAATAAAACAAAAACCCAGAATCAAGAGTACTTCAAGTAATTATTTTTAAAAACACTCATTATAGTTTATAGTAAAGAATTAATAGTAAATCTTTCTGCCATGAAAAATACCAAAATCTCATTCTGAAAAATCACCAGCATTTTACACACACACACACACACACACACACACACACACACACACACACACACACAGGTCTGAACCACAATTCTGGACTGACTTTCCACAGAGAAAGTACAGTACAGAGAGAGTACAGTAGCTATTTTTCTCTGACTACAGAATCCTTGATCACACCTTTTTGACAAAACCCTAACTCTGAATTAATATAATGTTCTTTTTTGAACCTACTCCTAGTTGCTGAGTGGTGTCAGAGGAAAAGCAATGACAACTTGGCAAACTGGTACCAAGTGGAGAAATTTCAAATTTCTTTCTCCACCTCCAGATTCACATATCCAACTATTTACTGTAAACGTCTACTGGGTGTTTCAAGATAAGACCAAAATCCTTACACGACCTACGAGACTTTGTATCGGTGGGTCTCTGCCTATCTCTTCAATGTCACTTTGTGTTCTCTGCTGCAAACACTAGCCCATTTTCAGATCTTTCACACACCAAAGCAGTTTACTTCTGGATTTTTCTGGGTGTTTTCCCTCCGCCTGTGTGCCCATCCACTCTCATACTCTCCCCCTCTAATGACTCACTTCTGTATGAAAGTATTACTGATTGTCCCACTTACACAGCAGAAATTCTCAACTCAGTACTATGGAAATTCTGATTTGGATAATTCTTTAGTGTGAAAGGCTATCCTGTGAACCCCAACATCTACTCACTAGATGCAAGTAGTACTGCTCTTCCCACCAGGCGTGACAACCAAAAATGTCTCCAGTACAGTCAAATGCCCCTGAGGGACAAAATCACTCCCACATGAGAACTGAAGTTCTCTGTAACTTCTGCCTTCCTTTTATACATAACTTAACACAATTATAGCTGAATTATTTTTGTATCTGTTTAGAGCACATATCTCCTGCTAGTCTGTAAGAATCTCAAGAGCAGGGATGTTACCTTCCTTCTATATTGTTAATCCTCCAGTGCCTAGCATATAACAGAAACATAATAACCTAATCGAACAAATGAACAACTAAATTAATAAATGGATCTGAGGAATAAGAAGGTACACTAAATGCTGCATAATGTTAGCGGGGATGGGTAAGTGAGTCCTTGCTCAACAACCTATAGGAAAACAATAAGGCTGCTGCCATCCCCTCCAACATCTTAATTTTAAAAACCTCCGAAGAGAAATATTCAAAAATTACTATAATTCCAAGGGACATGAGTGGTCATTCATTATACAACTAATTTTCATTAAGCATTCAACTATGTGCCAGGCACTAGCCTAGGCAGTAGGACTCTAGGTTTGACAAAGGAACCAGTCTCTACCTCCATGAAATTACAGTCAACTATGGAGAAAGCCACTAACCAAATAGTCACATGTATCAAATTTGACAATATTATGATTAATACATTCTAGGAATAAAATAGTAGTGGGGTGATTTGGGCAGATTAAATTGTGAGATAAAGTGATGTTACGTTGAAGGACAATTGGGACGTTTTGCCAGGTGGGAGAATGAATAGCCTATGTAGTAAGCATGGACTACATTCAAAAAAAGAACTGCCTAGCTAGACTACAGAATGAGAGCAGAGATAGGACAAGAGATGATACAGGTGGAGGCAAAAGCATTAGCAGCAGCCTTTGGAGTCAGACAAAAGTTTTGAGGGCAACAGGAAGTGAATGAAGTTTTTAAAATACAATGACAATATGCCAAGTTAAAAAAAAATATTATTCTAGCAGCACTGTGAAAAATGGATTAGAGGAGGAAGTAAAACCAGAGAACAGTAAATGTGCTAGAAGCAATATGAGAAAGAAATGACTGTGTTTGGGGATAGTAGAGACAGCAATAGAGGTACAGAATTGGTCAGATTCAAGACTTCTTTTGGACTCAAATGTTTTGTGCACAAAGGGACTGCACATGAAGATGACTCCAAGCTTTTGACATGAATAACTAAGATGATGGAGGTAAGACTGACCATGAGAAGGAAAACCACAGGAGGGAATGCTTACAATATGTGTGAAAAGAGAGAAGATTTTAAAAGTTCAATGTCCTCATATCTGTATTTCCTGATTTAGAACTTTGCAATAGTCTTTCAGTGCCCCTACATGATAGATAAGGTAAAGAAAATCTTAGGCTACCTTCAGCTTAGCAGTACTTCTAGCCTCTGGGAAATTTCACAAATAGGTAGCTTAAGCTAGTTGCTTTAGGGCCTAAGGAAGAGAAACTTCTTGTTGATAAAACCTGTCCTTGTGTTTGCAACTCTGTCTCTTCTTACCATAGTAGTTGTCAATGGTTAATAGTAGAATGTAAAGTAAGCTTAATGCAATGAGAGACAAGAAATCCATCTGGTCGGACACTGGTCTAGCCCATGAGACTTGAAAGAAGTCTTTGCAAAACAAGTTCTTAGGAGCAAGCGTAATCAATTTTATTGGATCAGCACAAGTCAAATCACCTTAGGTCACCAGGACCAAGGTTTCATTTCCATAAACAAGTTGAGTCCAAACATCTTTTGAGTTAATTAAGATTGAATGATTTTTGCCTACGTGCAACACAGAACTATTTTCTTTAGAGTTTTCCCTGTTATATACCTCCCAGGAAACCAATCTGAGTAAACCTGTAGTCACGGTAGGTGAACCTACAATAATTTGATACTCTGAGAGATTGGAAACAAAAATTCAAACTGTATTACCAATAGATTTATTGAACCTGTGCCATGCTACTGAAAATGAAAAAAAGTTTATATACTTAATCATTTTAAGAAACTCTCGGTAAAATTAGATAAATATATACTCATAATACTGTGTGCTAAACGCAAAAACAAAGTTATGTGGAAAGTTCTATAAAAGCACTGCGGACTCAATATATACACTTGAAATAATGCTGCATGTTAAGAAAAACTTTTTATAAGAATTGTCATCTGAGTTGTGTTGTGAAAGATTTGAAGAGAGGATTATCTTGGAAATGAGAAAGGAAGAGATTCCAAATAGAAAGAACAGCACATGCAAAGGTATGTAAGGTCATATAAATGATAAAATCCCTGCAATAAATGAGTCTCTACACTAGTAAGCCAGACAAATAAATGAGCCTCTACACTAGTAAGCCAGACCAAAAAAAGTACAATACAGAGAGGAATATGATACATTTGGTAGTTAAAAAATGATTAGAAATAAAAGGAAAAAGATGATAACTGCTACAGAAGCACTCTGAAAGAAATTCATAACGACCGTGAGATATGTGGAAGATCTTAAGAATAGAAAAAAACTTCATGATACTGATGGTAAAAGAACATTTTTAAGATGAACAGTACTTCACAAGCAATGTCATAATAACAGGAGAATTTTTTACATGTAAGATAAATGGGAAGTAATCTGTTTTAGATTAAATATAGGCTACTCAGAGAAGGAATCTTGGAATCATTACAAAGGAATCGGAGGATATAACAGAAGATTCTTATAAAAAAGAGAGAGGTTTTGTCTTCATTTTATCAAATCAAAAGAGTAAAAATATGTTTACTAGAACAAATAAAAATGAAGAAAATTAAAAGTTCCTTCCAACTACCCAGAGATAAGCATTACTAATATTTCTGATATTATATATTTCTAGACTTCTACCCATATTTTGTTAAACAAAAAGAAAACCATTCATTACATTCCTTACATTTAACCTACTTAACAAACATTTTTCATATCAACATAACTTTTACTAGTTAAGCTGTGCCATTCTATATGAAGGCCTCAAACAGCAAATACCCTACCATACACTTAAGTAATTTCCATTTCTTTGTTAAGAATGATAGCAGGACAAAAATTCTGGCCTTTACCATAAAAACACACAATAATTTTTGCTCATCCTCTAACTCTATAAAACTTCATCACTAGTGGCCTGTATAAATGGTAGGAACTTAATAGAAACCATGATGGCTTATGTATCTACTTTATGTTCCAATTGGCATTTTATATACTAAATGGTCCCTTGGTTTAATTTAAAATTTAAGCCTACAACTTGTAAGAGAGTTGGAGATTATTTTTGCATTGCTTGTTATTCCTAATTCCCGAAGTCTTCCTACAAGTAGTTACAAACTCCCAAATGTACTCACTTCACCATGAATGACCAGTTCTCTAAGGAAGTATACAATATCCCTGTTCCTGAAGTCTTTCTCAAATTATGTGTTTGTTCACTGGGTGTTTCACTGAGATTTTCAAATGACTAGTCTCAATCTAAGAGATTTCTAGCCATGCTCTATGTGGCATAATATAGAGGATTCATTCTCCTCCTGGCTGTCACAGAAGACCACACATTCTTAGGGTACCCTGAGCCTGTTTCTTTGGTCTACCTTCATGTTGAAGTAAGAGGCTGAAGGGGCTTAGTGCGCTATACTTCTGCCTAGTTCTTGGTTATGGTCTTCAATATTTTAAGAAGAGTGTCAACTCCACTATCAACTGACTATTAAAAAGTAGAAATCTGCTCTTAAGTATAACAAAAAGACCAACATCTCAGATATCTTCCAGAAGTACTTAATACCTTGACTTACAAATGAGTTTTACATTCCAAATGAAGAAGACTTAAAAAATACTGAGAAATATACACTCCATCTATTTCTAGAAATGTACTTAAAATCAGTGATTCCCTAAAAGAGCCTATAAAGAGCCATGCTAAGCTGGCTGCATAGAATCACTAGTAGAAGTAAAGATTTCAGTTTCTGGGCCTCTCAGGGGCATGGGAGACAGAGGTTTAGAAACCAGAGTTAAACCTAAACTATATACAGAACAGAGAACTACATGCTCACTACACCTATTCAGCCTGCCTCCCTACTATATAATTATTTTGGTTATACTTTAAAATTCTGTATCTCCTACATCAAGGATCACTCCTACTAAAATCATCATTGAAATCCCCATGGGGAATGAATTTAATCTAGAAAACATTCAAGGAACATCTACCATATGTCATTTATTACACTGGATGGTGGAGATAGAAATAAGAATACCACCTACTCCCTGCTTTCAAGGAGGCTAAGAACATTGAGGATGCTGCTCATTCTACCAGGTCTTCCTCTCAGGAACCAACTGTACTTTCCTGGAACATCAGCTTATTTTTAACTTGTAGACAGTATTTGTAGAAAAGTTCCAGAGCTAACTCTGCCTGCCGCCTCTAGACAAACTTAAGAAACCATACATAATACATTTCATGCCCATCTTAACCACTTTAACCTTATTTTCTTCTATGCTTATTTTTTTTCTCAGTTTCTTATTTTTTAAAAAAATCTGTGTGTGCTATATATGTTGTGAACCTCAAATGCTTTTTGGGCAAAATAGGAGTAAAACAAGTAAAACAGTAACCCAGACTGTTGCCTTCAGAACAATTCCTCTTGTTTTAAAATACAGCCTAAAGTCACACTGCTTAACCAGAGGTATATCTCAGATGTATCTGAAGATCTTTGAAAAAAATACATATTTGAATCCTTTCTCCGAGATTTTTATTCCAGTATATCATAAGTGGCCTTAGGTGGGGTATGCAATTTATACTCAGAAAAAAATCCTATTGGTAATTTTGATATGCACACTCACAGTAAAGAACTGTTGGCTAGAAATTCAAACAAAAGTATTCAGGTAAATTTTCCTTTGCAGTAAGCAGATCCAGGGAGGTAACATAAAATGGATCAAATAATACTTTCCCATCATTTATTCAATAGCAATGAATGATAATGAAGAACTGATACACATGAATTTCTTGATCACATATTAGAAGAAACAAACACTAATTTGATTAACATGAAATTAATATTCTCACTTGAACTATCACTCAAAAATTTGGAATGTAATGGTCCTTATGTTACAGTTTTATTGAGACGATTTTGCAGTCAAGGAAGAAAAATCACTCGTGGATTTTATGAACAAGATTTCCTTGTATTACTTCCACTGGTCATCATAATACTAGTACACACCTGAGAGATTTAAGTATAGGCTTGGTATTCCTAAAGAATCATATCAAATTCAACCAATTACCTACTTGAAAACTATGAAGAGAATGGGAAGAAGATAGCATGGGCATTAAAATAAAATTTCTCTACTAATGATAGGGGAAAATGGTTCTAATGAAACATTAGCCTTGTTCAACTGTGTTACGTGAAACACCCATGCAACAGAGGATAAACTTCTTAATATAATATCAAACATAATTAACCCACATTTTAAACAACAATCTCATATACCAAATTTATAGACTTGGCACATTCTATTTCTACTAATTCAAACAGTGCCTTTTCTTCTCATCAATTCTATAGGGGACACAATATTTCCTACTGAGGTTGTATTGTCATTATTTTCTAAAAACCCAACATGGAAGATAACTATAACAGTTATATGTGAATTGACCATTTCCATCTCTTTGTCTTTTAAATACTCTGGTCCCCCTCAGAAACAGATCTGCATTCTTTTCAAGTTTATTTTACATGTTAAAGAGACATGAAAACATGTGTCCAATGTCTAATACTGAATTTTTAAAAAAATTATGAAACAGCATTGTAAAGTATACAGTGAGAAATATTGAACAGGAAAAAAGAGTGCGGAGTATGTAGACATGGTCTTTTAATAGGGGAAGAAAAATAAGATAACAAATATGAAAGGTGGATAGGGCAAAACTAGTTCTTAATAGACAAGAATATTAGTGGGAAGTATGTATTAGTTTAACTAACTAGAAATAAAATGTGTTTACTCTGTAAATTTGGACAGCCAAGTTTAGGAGGATGCAGCTACATAGAATTTACTATTCAGTTAATATAAAATACAGGTGAGACAAGAATAAAGCTGGACCTTAACTGATGAATTCAGTATTCACCTGTATATGAGTTCTCAGGTACCACTACCACTTACACCAATTATACGGCCCATTCCTCCCACAATAATAAGATAAGAATAGTGACACAGGAAGGGAGTATGTAAATGTTAAGGGAAGAAACACAGTAGTTCCATCTTGGGGCAAGTTAAGGGAAGTGACTCAGAAAGAATATGTTTAGAAGACAAAGGATGAAATGGATGGCACTGGTTTACAAATGAAAGCACCTATAATAGGGCTATTCCATTGCGATTTGAGCTCAGAAACATCTTGATATCTACCAAAACTACATTGCTGTGGACCCATTCAGTTTCACCTGTTCCAAGCTGTACCCCTGAATATGTGGGAGGAAAGTACAGTCCTACCAGATGGTGGAGCTCACCAATCACTAGAGCATTGGAATTCAGGTAGACTGCATTTCATTTAAGTATAAAAATGGTATAAGACCACTATCTTGGTCTTCTAATCATGCTGAATTATTTGCCTCTTAAGACTAAAATCAACAACAGCTATTTAATTATATGAAAACAAGTTACAAGTCTGGGCAGATGTGTACATGCCTACATCCGTCAGAGCACCATACATTCCAGGCAACTCCTTTGGGTGCCCTGCTACTGTCTTCTCAGTAAATCCTGCTTTCTCACTTACAATAATAATAATAAAAAAAGAAATAATAATTCCTTCTAAAGTTCAAATGAGAATGCTAAAACCCCATAGGTAATGCTGCAAGGAAATCTCTCCGTACGAGATAAAAAATAAACAAAAACCGAAAAAATTAAAACAAAACATGCAGACCTTGCAAAATGAAAAGGTTATTCAGACCCATTCGGAGTCAATAAAAAAAAAAGAGACAAATAAGTTTGAAAACAATATCTGAGTTTAATTTGTAAGCTTCCCATTTCCCCAACTAGTACAGAGAACTAACAGTTTTTCTGTAGCAGAAAATATGTCATTTTAAAATCTACTGGTAACTAGGCAATGATAAAATTATCTTTAAAAAAAAGATCAAACATATTCTATTTTCAATTTTTCTGGAAAATATTTTCTTCATTTTTATAGTGTTTACTTTGAAATATTTTATTGATTTCATAAGCTAATAATTCAGTTGAGAATGGTATTTTTAATGTTTCTATTTTAATACATTTATGTCAGTTTAACAGGTTTTACACACTATTCTATTGGAATATATTAATTATTTGGTTTGAGCTCATTTTATTTTTAACCTTAAGAATTTTGAAAAAAAATACTCTGTATTAACAGAGCTACTTCACTATTACACAAAATATGTATGAATATACCACTAGTATTATTTTGGTTAAGTTGGAAATGTCTAGAGTTTATTCTTTTGACATATTTAGTGAATTGGTTTGGGTTGCCTGTTGATTTCACAACTTTTCTTGTTTTTTGCCAGAGTCAAGACCACCCAAAGTGGGCAGGGTAGGTAGAGGGTGAGTCCACAGAATGGTCTCAGTTATCTTGAGAAAGGCATATATACATACATTGATGTCTGGTAAAAGGGTAAACTAAGCTGATATCTGTGGTAATCTCTGAGTAAAAGAATTTCAGATGATTTCTACCGACTTCTTCATACATTAACATAGTTGAAGTATTTTTGTTTTGTTTAGTTTTTAATGAGCATATCTTAGGTTTAATACAAAATAATATGATACTGATAATAAAATGGACAAACCTGTTGTTGCAGAAGACTCTAACTCCCTCAGTTTCTGAGATGCTAAAAGCTTTTCCTGCAAAGCTCTCTGGGCAAGTTGTGCATCCCATTCTTCTAATTCTCTTTCAAATCGTTGGTTATCTTCCTCAACAAAATCTCTTAAGTCTGGTGGTAACGTTTCCATTCCAACAAGGGCCTGTCCAGTTTCTTTATTAAACTCCTCTGCAAATCACATTTCAAAAACTGGTATAAAATTAAAAATTAAAGGAAAAATGCAAAGCTCACAATAGAATCCATTTCAAATGAAATTTAAACTATGAATTATTACCATTTACCAATCAATATTACCTAAGAATTATTATAGTTTAGTAAATAAACATTATCTAAAAATGTGTTTAAAATTCAAACAAATACTCGGAAAAATAATACAAATATTCAATAGTCTATTATAAGGTAATGTTCTCAGTTATTTTTCATAGTCTGAGTAGAAATGATATAAACTATCAAGTCACAATTTTTTTTTTTTTTTGAGTTGGAGTCTCACTCTGTCGCCCAGACTGGAGGGCAGTGGCGGCTTCTGGCCACTGGAGCCTCAACCTGCTGGGCTCCGGCAATCCTTCTGCCTCAGCCTTCCAAGTAGCTGGAACTACAGGCGCACACTACCATGCCTGGCTAATTTTTTTTTTTGATTTATTGTAGAGATGAGGTCTCGCCTGCCGAGGTGGGTCTCGAACCCACAGGCTCAGGCAATCCACTCACCTCAGCCTTCCAAAGGCGCGGGATTACAGGCTGAGCCACCGAGCCCAGCTAAGTTACAATTTTTTTTTGCTACTCTAACAATGACGTAGCACTACTTTTGCTATTATTAAAAAATACCAGATGTTTGTTTATTCATGAAGTAAAACTTTTCACAAAATGAGAATAACTCAACTTTATTTAGATAAAAGAACTAAAATTGTTTTTCATCTGAAGCTGTTAAGTACAGCAATAAAATATGCAATTATGAAAGCTAATCAACGTAGCAAAAGTCTTTAAACATTACAGAAATAGTATCTAAACAGTTACTCTACTACTACTACAACACACTACACACACACACACACACACACACACACACACACACACAAACTACCTTTTCAGTCTTAAGTAGACTGTATAGCTAGTTCTACTGAATGGTTAAATACTAAAGGAAAGTTCATTTTATCAGTTTCACAGTTTCAGCAAAACTTTATTTCTATATGCAAAGCCTGCATCAGAGTATCAGAAATAAAAAGAATAAGACACAGCAGGACATAGTCTCTGGCTTTGAGTAGATGAGAAGGAAGCATGTAAGACAAGTCAACATGCAATTCGAACACACAACAACAAATGCCCAATCGAGATATGCTGCGAGAGCGCAAGAAAAGACACTTTCTGGCAGATCAAGAAAAACTGCAGAGGGGATGACATCTGAATTGAATCTTGACAGATGAGCATGAAACAGGCAAAAAAAAAAAAAAAAAAAAAAGTAATAAGAATATTACTAGCAAAAAATAAAACATAAGACATACAGACAAATGTGTGAAATGGTTTGATATGTGCAAACTACAGCAAAAGGTTTAAATATAAGAAAAGTATATAAAGTTTGAAATGAACACTGGTAACAAATGAAGCTGGAGAGACAATCAGAGGCCAGAAAACAGACACTTTCGCATGCCAGTTTCTGGAGTCAATGTGTGAAAGTAGTCACTAAAGCATTTTTAGCAAGGACAAAAAAGGTCAGATTTACACTTAACAGTTAACTTTGAGTACAAAGTATATGCCAATTCTCAGCACTAGTCACATTCCTTTTTAATTCAGTTTTCTCACAATAACCCAGTAGCACTTCCTAATCATACCTCCACCCTGACTGAATTCACTTAACTAATCACACCACAGACCAGAGTTACATAAAAGGAATACTCATTTAAAAACATATATCACTTTATGCATGTTATACTCTTACCTTGTATTAAGAATTGTGCTTTATCATTTATGTACATTAAACAGTATGCACTGGCATTTCTATAACCACCAAAAGAGTCCCTTACTAGCTCTTCCCATGATGATTTTGTCACAGCAATATCATTGTACTTCATCCACCTGCTTTCACGATGGTCAAAAATGTATGCCCAATAGTGCCCAGCATTGGCTTGGCCTTCGTGAACTAAAACAGCATGCAAGCGATAAGGAACCTAAATGTGGAAAGAAAAAAAAAAAAAGTTAAACTGCAACTGCAGTCTATTGTACCGCATTCCATGAAACCCATAAACCACCTGTTCAGAGGAAACCATGGGAGCATATATTTTTTTAACAAGAAAAACTGGCAGAAAATAAAATTTTGAAAGAAGCAAACTATAAAATTTAAAAAAAGAAGGAACCTAAATAACCTAAAGATATGCAACTCCACAGGTGTGTAGATAAAAACATAATTTTTGAGACTTTGAAAATGTTTTTGCTGCATATGAATCTGTTGACCTATTTCAGTTATTTCTTTTGAATAAATAACTTACGATGGACAGTTTTGTGTATAGTACATTTTTCTAAATCTTCACAATTGTAAATAGATGGCTAACAAAATGGATTATATAATATATACCACAAGTTAAAATGTAATTGAGCCCTATACTTTCTTCCCACACCTTAATATGCCTTAAACAACCATATATCTTTTCCCATAAGACTTTAAAAATATTAATGCTTTTTGAAAATTTTTGATAAATTTTATTGTAAAATAATAAAAAAGGGTGCATAAGCATAATATGAGTACATCTAAATGGAAAAAAATCAGTAACAAATTTCATAACAAATTTCTCCCATTCAATTGTAGTCTCATACTGCACTTATTGCATACTCTTTTTATTATTTTACAATAAAATTTACCAAAATTGTATAATACAACATGTAAGCAAAAATTAAATTAAGAGAAATAACATAGAGATAAAATATATGTAAATAATTTTGATAATGATTACTAGCTCAAAACTTCACTTACTTGGATCATAGTTTTGTCAGAGTACATTAGTTCAATTGTTCGATGGATTCTGGATATGCTTTCCTGTAAATCTAAGAATATAAGGTGTCATTTATTGATCAACATCAAGTGTGTTTCTACTGACACGTATAAGATAGGGACTAAAAGATTTAGAGAAATAGAAAAACTTTCTTAAAATTGTCTTTAAAAAGATTACTATTTGAAGTCTATATAAAATGAAATACTGTTATCCTTAATAAGAGATACAGCACAAATGCATAGTCAAAAACCAAAAAAATATGATTTATCAAGAAAATGTGCACAGCCAATAAAATTGAACCTTGTTCAAATCTAAAGAAAATTTCAATGAAAATCAAAGCTAAACTCCCTTACATATTGCTTTAAATTGGGTGAACTTAAAAATAAAATAACTTCACCACATATCTTGATTATATATACATTAACTGAATAAAAAATTTGCTGAAATCACCAATGGAAATAAAATTATAGGACTTCATTAACTAATTATTTCCATCACATTACCAATTATTTCTACCTTCAACAGAAAACAATCCCACAAAATTATTCAGAGTAGGAATGCTCACAGCTATATTGTCCATAATAATTACTAAAACTTGAGGTAACTTAAATATCTGTCAACAAGGAAATGGTTAAATTAGAGTATAAGCACATCATACTGTGAAGCTGGTGAAAATAATCAAGAAACCCTAAAAAACTGCAAGAACATATTAGCAACTTTACGGTAGGAAAAGATCTGTCTTAGCCTGATATAAAATCCCCCATAAAAAAACATCAAAAAAATTACATTATAAAAACAAAACAAACAAACAAAAGTCACCATAGAGAAAGACAAATGACAAATTGGGAAAATAGTATTCTGTAGCATTTACTACAGGCAAGAAAGTTAATATCTATAATACAATAAATTTCCTACTAAGCAATAAGAAAAAGACAAATCGGTAAATTCAAAAATGTGGGCAAATATCAAAACAAGAAATTTAGTGAAAAATACAAGTGTTCAATATATATTCACCGATAACTAACGAAATACAAATCAAGACACTTCAATACCATTTTTTCAACAATCAGATGACCACAGATTAAAAAGCACCTGGGGCTAAGTAGGATACTGGGAGACAGGCTATCTCTTACACACTTAGTGGGAATACAAACTGATTTACTGTTTTGAAGCAACAACTTTAAAATGGTAGTCATCATTTAAATATATAGACTTTGGGCAAGAAACAGTACTTTTAAGAATATACCCTACTTACCAAAGTGTATAGATACGTATGTAGAAGGCCAGTACCATTTGCAGTGATTATCACCATAGAAATTAAATAAATTATATCATACCCATATGGTGGAATACTACACAATAGTTTAAAAAATAATGCTAACAGCTAATACCAATAGGGATGAAAGAAAGCAAAGTATTCTGAGGAAAACCTTTCCAATTCCATAGTATTACACCTACAAAAATTTATCACATGAATATCCCTCAAGTTCTTCAAACTTAAAATGGCTAAAAGTGAACTCATCATATTCCTATTTTCTCACCCAAGGGGTTACCTGTTTGCCCAACAGTCCTCCTTTTTAGAAAATACATTCTCCTTGGTTATTCATCACTAAGGAAATAATTCCTGATTCCACCTTTTATCTCTAGTTAATGACATATATTTGACAGTTATCTCCAAAAAGTGTTTTAAGTATGTTTACTTCTTTCCTCCCTCAATGCCACTACCTAGGAATCAAAAGCTTCCTAACTTCCACCCTTCTTCTGAGCGTTACCTTATAAAATCAAATCTGCCCCTGGAAATTATCTAACACTTGGCAGAGTGGTAAACATTATGCTTAGTTAATGTTTGTGAATGAATTCAAATACAAAAAAATTCCCTCACATATAAAAAACACTAAGGAAAATCTTTATGACTACTAATGCCAGTTATCAGTCACCATCTTATCCTATATACTCCCTATTAAATTAGATTGCTCTAGGCACATATGGTCTATAAACAGTCTAGTTGACTATATAAGTATAAAATTCCACAATCAATATTGTTCAATATAATTCCAACCACGTAGTATAAAACAGTAGTTTCAATTTTTTTTTTTACACAGATCAATAAATGAGGTTAAAATTGAAGATGATAATAGGGTATTATATTTTGACATGTAAGGAAAAATTTAATAAATAAAATCTACCATAAAATATTAACAACATGTCTAAAGTACATATTAGCACCAGAAAAGTAGAAAGAAGGTATGTTCAGAATAACTTACTCTGAAAAAAAAGAGTAAAGAATAGAACTGAATAAAGGAGAGTTCCTTTCAAGAAAAGACAGATGGCAACCACACACATGCACGTGCATGCACACAGAGAGAGAGAGAACACTATTTAACATCATTTTACTTAAAAAAAAAAAAAAAAAGTACATTTTAACAACATAAAAGCAGGAAGGAGATATATTCAGAATAATTTATTCTGAAAAAAGAAATAAAGAATAAAGGGGAGTTCCTTCCAAAAAAGGACAGATGGTAACAACACACACACACACACACACACACACACACACACACACACAAACACAGAGCACTGTCCTTATTTTTCTTATTTTATGCAAATAAGTTTAAACTCTATTGCAAACTAGCACTGGGTTCATAGACCAAATTTGGAAATCTTTGTTAAAGCAGATTAAAAATTTAAGTCCACATTTCTAAATCTTTTTTTTTTTTTAGTTGGAGACTCACTCTGTTGCCCAGACTAGAGTGCAGTGGCCACTCCCGGCCACCGCAGTCTCGACCTGCTGGGCTCTGGCGATCCTTCTGCCTCAGCCTTCCGAGTAGCCGGAATTACAGGCGCGCGCTACCATGCCCGGCTAATTTTTTGATTTATTGTAGAGATGAGGTCTTGCCAAGTTGCCCAGGCGGGTCTTGAACCCGCGGGTTCAGGCAATCCACTCACCTCGGCCTCCCAAAGTGTGGGATTACAGGCTGAGCTACCAAGCCCAGCCACATTTCTAATTCTGAAGTCTAAAGAAAAAAAAATACCACCTGAACTTCTCCACTGTACAAACATTAGATTAAGTACATAATTTATATGTACAAACTTTGATGTTATATAGCATTTCTCCAATGGAGTAGCTGTGAATACCAGTGTGATATAAATTTAGAGCGCTAAACTAAAAAATCAGACCATCTGCTATGTCATTAATCAACCAAGCAATCCAGGAAAAATGTTTGGTCCCTATGAACTTGATACTAGGATTATTAAAATGGATAAAACCAGACTAGTTTATCTTACATAAAACCCTTTGCAGAAACACAAAATGACTACAATATTTAAATATGAAATCCAGTGGTGATTTCCCTTCTCAATTTTAACATTACAAAAACCCATCTGAGGTGACAGTAACTAGGTTATGAGACTTCTTCTTACCTCTGGTGTCATTTTCTATTTCTGTCCTCCAACGATGTAAACAGCTTTCTAGCACAGAAAGTTCTTCTTCTGTTATGTGCCTTGGTGCTGGATGCATGGGCAAATCTGGAGGTATCCGGGACTGAGTGAATGGTTTGTGTATCATGGATCTCGATGAAACAGTACCAATTGGTGCAGGTGATGTGCTTGGCAGTTCTGAAGAAGGAATTCCCTGTTGTTCTGTTGTGCTGTTATTTTCAAAACAGATTATTTGTTATTAACATTTCATATTGAAGCTCTGGACAAAGACTGTGCCAAATATATAGCATTAAATTGGCTCATAATTTCAAAAGGAAAAGATCCTAAAAAAGAAATATGGGGATTGATCTAATATCCTAACGAGAGTCTTATTATATGAGAATTAAATTATTATAGGATGAAATTGTAGCTTTAGAGTAAAACAAAACTTAACCATATTTTTTTTAATAAAACAAGTCCTATGCATACTGAAATTATAAAGATTCTCCCTTGCTAATACTTACGAACTTATATTACAGAAACAAACTTGAATTTAACAGTATTATTTTGATGGATCATAAAAGGTTGAAGCTTATAATATAATTACATACCAAAACATTTTAAAGTATAATTCCAAATAGAAAAAAGTACGATCCAAATTTCAATCCATAACCATAAAATCCAATGAAATAACGTCCAGAAGACATTCTAAGTGAATCTACTCTTTTTAAGAGTTTGCTAAAATAAGTCAAGACATGCATTTTATAACAATCTTCAAAGGCATCAATTATATTATCATGTAATATAACTATAATAGCTCTTGTATTGAGATGATGTTTTACCTTGGTAATGTCTGTGATGGTATGGAACCACCAGGTGGGGAACTAGCATCAATATCATCAACAGGAGAAGTGCAAACAGGTTTACTTGAAGCAAATTCCAAGGCATACTGAAGAACATCTACCAAGGGGAATCGTTTAGGACCCGAACCATAGCTTAAATATCTGTTAACCGTAAAATAATAAAATGGTTGAATGCTTTTATTTTTATATACAGCACATTTGGGTTTTAATGAACAGTTCTTATAAGACAAGATACAATACTTTACTAAACTGTCTCAACACTAAAGTTCATTTGCTTTTAAATGAAGAAGGTAAAACTAAATATACATTTAAAAAAAAATCCCATCCAGGTTGCTGCGAAGTTCATGATTTTGTTCTTCTTTATGGCTGCGTAATAGCGACTATAATGCTAAATGATCTTTCACAGAAACAAAGAACTGAGCATCACATGTTCTCACTCGTAAGTGGACCCTGCACAACTATAGGAAAAGGATCGACAGTGGCAGGACACTGTGGGAGAGGGGGGCAGGGAGGTGGGATTAGCAGCAGTGGAAATCGGCCTGGGGAAGGGGGGCACACCTCCTCAACAAGGGCACCTGCACAATATTTGTATGCCTAACCCTGAATTGTACCCCACAATCTTAAAATAAAAAAATTTAAAAGTTAAAAAAAAAGTTTTCCAAAGAAACCAAAGTCAATTAAGAATGAATGTGTATATATACTGTTAAAATGTTAAATGCTGTTCTAAATTGTAACTCAATAGGAATATAAAAACTGACAGTATCATCTCCTGAGACAGTTTTTTTTTTAGATCTGGCGTCTGGTCTCATGTTCAAATCAGTAATGTTTATTATCCTACTACCTTCTACTACTGATCATTTTTCAGTATGATTACTGATACTTTTTAAGAATAAACATTATTAAAAATAAAAAATGTTATTTTACATAAAAAGTTTTAGGCTATTAATTTCCAAATTACTAAAGTAAGGGAATATAGGTAGCAAACTTGGGTCAGAGGTTGCAAACTGGGCTTCCTCAGGGGACATTCAGCCCACAGACTTTTTGTCTGACCTGCAGAACATTCATCAGTCTAGGTTCCAGCTTCTTTTAAAAATAACCTGAAGCTCTAGACAACAGTGAGATCATCTTCACACACAGCACACCACCAATGGTACTGAAGGGCATTCACTCCCTCTACACACATAAAAGCTCTTACATCTTCCCTCACACACTTGATCCAATTTTCTCCTTTAGGAAATTTCTGTGAAGGCCTGGTAGGCATCTGAGTTTGGATCTTCTGTGTTAAAGAGGAAAACTCAGGTACCATTCATTTTAATGGAAATCTCAAGAGTAATCTTCAGTTTCATGCAAAAGGAAAGCTCAAAATCTTATTAATTTTATATCTATTTTCACACCATGAACATTACCCATTGATAATGAGACAATTCGTTTTATATGGTAACAGCCTTTTAAAGTCAACTGTAGATTATTTTTAGTTTCTGATAAAACTATGCAAGTGAAATATCAATATAAATGATGATCTACTCCTAGAATTACAAATTATTCAAAGCAAATATAAAATTAAAAATCAAGACAGTCACCAAATACATGATTTCCTGTAGTTAGCTCATAATTTAATAAAAGTTAAAATACCTTTCCAGTCTTTGTTGTAATACTGTGAGGTAATCTTTAAGTCTCTTGATCTCATCTCTTTTAATTCTTGTTATTTCTCTGTTTCTATGCATATATCTATCACAGTGAAAAAGCAATCAGAAGCATTTCCAAATATATTGAAAACAGAGAGAATATTCATTCTAGTCATAACCACATACATTTTATATTAAGATATAAAATAGAAAATACAAAATGGTATTTTTAAAAATTCTGACAATTTTATGAAAATAATCTCATGTTTTAACTTCCTTATAACATTATTCCCAGTGACTATACTTTTCTAATACAAAGTGCACTCCATTTTTCTTGACAAATGGTTTTAGATACATTATGCAGAATTAAATACTAATTCTAAGAAAATTCAGCAAAATTTTCATCTAAACACAATAATTTTTCACTTGCTTACTTAACTGTTTCAAACGAACACATGTTGTATGCCAAACCATACCTGTCCAAATATAAAACTTGAGGAAATTCTAATTTGTTGTGAATTTTTTCTGGTCTTCCCAAAGCCTGATTAAATTCAAATCTTGACAATTCAAATGTTAACACAGGTGGTAATTCAGTAAACCAATGCTAAAAGAAAAGAAAACAACAAGAAACTTTAATGTTACCTTTCTGTTTTCTCCATTTCAATTTTAGGCATAGGATGTTGGGACAGACATTTTTATACACATCAACACAATGCTGACACCGCAAGTAACTGGGTATAAAATTTAGTTAAAACTCAACTTCTTCCTAAAAGTTTCCCATGCTTCTTGAAAATTCCAAGAGTAGGTATAACAACACACAATCAAGAAAGAGAAAAATCTTCTAACTGCCCTACTTCCAAAATAATTCCTTACACAACTCACAACTCTCACACTAAAAATGAGAACACAATTTTTACATTTTTAACTTTAGTTTTCATACTAGTTTATGAAAATAAACCAAACACTAAAAAAAGTTTATCCTAGTAGTAATTATAATTAAATGCCTCATTGCTGAGTCAAATCATGATATAATTTCCTTCTGCTATTCCCAACCCCCACATATGCTTTGGCAGCTACTCTTCTAAGCATAAAATTCAATAAAACTTAAAAAGAAAATTATTTTCATATACAGCCTCAAGTTATATATAAACATAATATTTAAAGAGAAAGAATTAAACTTGTAAATCAACAAATAACAGAAAGAAATGTTATAAAAAATAAAAAATACTTGGAAAAATATTTTTCAGGTGCTTATTATAAACTGTGCAATGTGCTACCATAAAAAGAAACTGCTGCATACTCTACTGTGTGTGACAATTTAAAGTACCTCAAAACACAACCACTCATCTGTCAATGAGTAAAGAGCAAACTAATTAAAATATGAACAGTCCCCCAAAAAAAGCAGGAATCACACACACCTGGCAAATTTGACTAGACTCTTGAAGTTGCTAATTTTCTCTAAATGAAGTAAATAAACCTAAGTGGCAACTCAATAATACTACTCTCCCTCCCAGAATGCTGACGATTATCCGAAGTGAGATTTCCTGAGTTGGCTCTGGGTTTCCTGAAAGTTAAGGTTTAAAGGATTTGTTTTGATAGATATTCTCTGAAATTCACTACACAAAGTTATGAAATATCAATATCTAACAACAGAAACAGCTTATGTTTTTATTTTGATCTCACACAGAACTGACAAGAATTTTTTAAGTTAGTTCTAACCCACATCTAAAATTACTATTAAGAATTAAAACATTACCCCAGACATAGCACAAAGAAAACTTTTGATGCCTTAGGATAATTCTTTGCTCCATTTTATGATACTCAAACAAGTAAGTAGATTTCAAGAACTATTACTTTCCTATTTTACTGCAATATTTGAAATATCACCCTTAAAATTAGTTTATTTTAATTTATGGGAATCTACAATGGCCAGGAGAAATGGGATGACCTAAATTGGGGTATTATTTTTTGTAGACTATGGAAAGTCCAGGAAATATAAATAGCTTCCATACCTTACAAAAGGATGCTGAAAAATGTTATGTGATATGTCTCTGATATGAATACATTTCCTCTGTCAGCGATGGCGGTTTTTCCTACTACGTGACTGGATTTCACTTTCTCATTCTAAAGCTGATGGGGACAAGATGAGATAACCAGACATTCTGTAAATTCATTTCTTATATTAATGGTATGTCTAGCTCTGCAATAATTGGATGGTAAGGACTGCAATACATAATTAGAATTTTTAATAAGACAAAATGAGAAATTTTTCTCTTAAAAAATTTTCTTTCACTGAACAAAAAAGTGTAATTACTTTTCTGTACTAGTATGCCACGCTTGTGAGACAGAGGTCATGAAAGGAATGATGATGCTATTCTCCATATCTCTAAACCTACTGTACTATATAATGAACCTACAGGAGGAATAGATTTCTGCAATTAGTGAATAAAGAACTTATACAATCAGTATTGGCCACAAAATGGGCCTGTATTTATCAGAACTCTAGAAATCTGAACTGTTAACAGAAATAGTTTCTAAAGAAAATGTCATTTTTGTGAATTTTAATAGCTTTTTCTATCAAAGTGTTTAAAATACCTTGCTTTTATAAGAATACTACACAAATGCAGAAATAAAATTTAAAAACACACCTACCATTTCAAATTCCCCACAGAACACCAAACCAAGCCAGGATGTAAACTAAGCACAAGAAGCAAAAACTTCATTGAATTCCCTGACTCGTTTATCCTTCCACTTTAAAAGATAAATTTCCCATATAATTTCTACATTTATCTAATACGGTTCATGTCAATATAGTTTCTCTAATTTAGTTTTTAAAGCTTTGTAAGACAATTTCTAGCACTTTAATAAAATTTGGTACAACTTTGTGAAGGAAAATCTGGCAGTAACATCATTTCTAAATGAGTATGCCTCATGACCCAAAGATGTTACTTCTAACTATACTTCATTCCTAAGTGCTCAAGGGTCTTTACAGAAAGACATCCTTCAAAATAATTATCTGTCTAACTACTGCCTTCTAGGATAATTAAATCAACTTAATTTTATAAATACACACTATGTGACACTATGCAGGTTTTAAAAAGATTGATGTAAAGCTGTATACTGACTTGGAAGCATGTACACAACATATTGGAGTGAAAACTAAGTTTCATGACAGTATGGATAGATAGATACAGATATTTATATATGTACAGCAACAGTCTAAAAGAATACATAGCATATTAGTAGTAGTGAATACTCACACCAGAATGAAGTACTTACTATTTGAAATTTTTTTTTCTTCCAATAGTCAATCAAAAGATATCTCCAAGTTTCCTGGGAGAGTCTGACTCATTCATAAATTGCATACTATTTAATTAAAATTTATCATTTTAAACTATTTTGTAAGTATATTACATATAATCACTTTTAATTTATTCACTTGTGTCTTGGTGTATCATTCCAGAAATTTAAACTCTTAGAGCCCACCGGATATTTTGACTTGGGCAATTCTGGCAATTAGTTGGCCACAGCTATTTCAGCAAAGTAGAAGTTTTTTGAGTCAAAATAGAATCAACAGTTTTTAGTAAATAACAGTATGAGGAAAAAGCTATTATTATTAGAGATTAAGTCAATTTAGAAACTGCACAAACAGTTACTTGTTGGTTTTTAGAGATTCAAGAAGAAAGTTATTCTGAAGTACATAATGAAATAAGACTATAACTTAAATATATTATTTAAAAACTGTTATGATATACTATAGTCAGTGATAGTCTCTTAAACCAAGTTGAACTGAAACTATAATCTCCAGCAAATCTAGACAACTGGTAAGAGGAATCACAGGTAATCAAATTTGCTATTATTGAGATTGGTTAGAAATAACTTAGAAGTCAGAGAAGATGATAAATCATTATATTTCTTAGGTTATATGGATATACCTAGGCAGAAAATATAAGTTGCAACATAGAATATTCAGTATAAAACCAGTAAAAAGATGGAGGACAAAAATAAGGTCTTTTAAATAAATCATGAAACTCAGATAGAAAAGCTAGGAATATGTGAGAAAGATTATTTACCAATAAACTGGTGTATTTAACTTAAAGACTATGCTGACAGTATAAGGAAAATGCCATCCCTGCCCTTCAGCCACAAGTATCATCCTTTTATTTAATAGCAAACAGATTAGACCTTAAGGGGTTTGCTTTCTTGCTCCATTATGGGACCCAGTTAAAGTTCCAATCTTTACAGATCTGTTTCGTAATCAATAAAATAAACGTGCAAAATGTCAACATTCTTCATTAGAGGTCTACATCAGAATCACTGGGGGAACTCTCGTGTCCATGTGCCCTATCTCTATCCTAGACTCTGATCTGATAGCTTTGCAGTACAGTCTTGCCTCTATTGAGAACCACTGAAGGAGATGATCTATGATGCAGAAAAGAAAAAAAAAAAACCTATTTCAAATATACTCTCTCTCTTCTTCTTTTTTAAAAAAAGTGCCCCTAATACAAAATATTATTTTTTCAGTTTGTTTGCTTAGGTGTGTGGTGGAAGAAAAGGAGGTAAGGGTGGAGTTAAAACAGAAAGGGCTAATCACATCTTAAAAAACAAAAATTACAATTTAGACAAAGGCAATTTATTCTCAGAAAAAAAAACAAACAAGCCGGGCTCGCTGGCTCAGCCTGTAATCCCACGCCTTTGGGAGGCTGAGGTGAGTGGACTGCCTGAGCCCGCGAGTTCGAGACCCGCCTGGGCAGGCGATACCTCATCTCTACAATAAATCAAAAAAAAATTAGCTGGGCGTGGTGGTGTGCGCCTGTAATTCCAGCTACTTGGAAGGCTGAGGCAGAAGGATCGCCAGAGCCCAGCAGGTCGAGGCTGCGGTGGCCGGGAGCGGCCACTGCACTCCAGTCTGGGCGACAGTGAGACTCCAACTCAAAAAAAAAAAAAAAAACACAAACAACAAAAAAAACCAAGATCCTAGTCTCTTTTTAGATAAACATAGAGATATTACCACTTAATATTCATTAGCACCCATTTAGCATAAAGACCTTAGAGGCTTTTTTAATAAGCACCGAGGAATTTCATTCATTCAATAAATATTTATTATGTGTGAAGTCACCATACTACCAATAGGGATATAGTAATGAATGAGACAGACAACGATCCCTACTCCCATGCATGGAGTTTAACATGTAGACAACTATCGGCAATGGTTTAACAAATGATTGATTTGGAGCCACATGATCAGTCCTTTGCTTGCTATTATAGTGCCAACAAATCCTTATGGATAAATATATGGATATACACATGTTGCTAGAGAGATGGATAAAGGAACAGAGATGGGTGGGGAGAAAAAGACCAGTAAAGATAAATAAATGTATAACATTTTTAAAAATACACTTCTTTCTTGGGAAAGTTCTTCCACCTGACCTCATGCAATCAGATAGCAATTTTACAAGAAAAGGAATCTGGGAGGCCTGAAAAAACTCCAACAATATTTGATATAAGTAACATATACCTATATAAACACCTTAATCTTAGTATCTTTCTTCTATATTTCCAGGATAAGCACACTGCTAATGGTTGGTAGCCTGACTGAAAATTTCAGATTAAAAAGACTGGACAATGTCCTAGAAGAATTTTAACTGAAAATTTGGAGATAAATTGCTTAAATGAGAATTTAACATAGATTATAGACCATATTGACTATGCAGGTTTCCTGAGTATGTCTAAATTACCACAATTCAATCCAAACATACTTTCTGAGTATTGTCTCAATTATTGGGTAGCTATATAATTAGAACCTTATGGCTTGACTTTCCTGGGTCAGCTAAATTAAAAAACAAAAACAAAAACCTTAAATTGTGTGTAAGAAAGACATGGGGACAAAGGGGGACAACAATGTTAAAACTCACCTCTTGGCCTGATTTTCCTGAATTCTCTGAATGTAAAGACTCTATTTCTCCTTCAATCATTGCAGCTTCTAGGCACTCATGCAGATCTTTGAACCCATTGACCTGAAGTGGGTACTGACCAAACATTTCAGTGTTTTCAAATTGTTTGCCTATAAGAAAGGGGAAAGTTAATCAAGATTCCTCCATATGGCCTTTTAACTATTAAAAGTAAGTATATATATGGATTATCTCCTGAAACTAAAAACAAAAACCATTAATTATGTTCCTGAGAATAGTGAGTTACATAATTTTTTCTGTTGGTTTATGAAGGGGGACCCCCCAAAAATGGAATTATCTTTTGAAGGACAGGTCCTTTGTAGTATACTTGAAATTTATGCCCCAGGATCAAACCATCAACCAAAGTTCTTATCTGGAAGTTTTGAGACAGTTGCATCACCATTTGCAAAAGAAACGCCCAGCACTGTGGCAAACAGGTGACTGGTTCTTCCACCACGACAACACACCAGCCCACACTGCACTGAGTGTTCAACAGTTTTTGACCAAAACCAGCATGGCGTCAGTGTCTCATCCTCCCTATTCACCCAATCTTCCCCTACTTTCTTTTGTTTCCCCAAATAAAAAAAGTCCTCAAAGGAAACCTTTTTGCTGATGTGGAAGAGGTAAAACAAACAAACAAAAAAAACGGCAGACACACTGAAGGGCATCAAAATTGAGGAGTTCAAAAACTGTTCTGAGCAGTGGGAAAAAGCATCCTGATAGGTGTATTGCATCAAATGGAGAGTACTTTGAAGGAGACAGAGTTTAAACATGTAAGAATACACAACGTTTTATTAAAAAATTCCAGTCTTTTAGGTGGGTCCCCCTCATATACATGTGTGGTGGAAACACGTGGACGTTCACACTCAGTCATAAATATTAATTGCAAGTCCGAATATTTGTGATAATATACATACATGTTTACATATTTATTTTTGTAAAAAGGGCTTTCTAAGGGCAAAATACTGTGGTAAACACTGGGAATATATCTAGCAGTGAACAAGAGAGATAAAATCACTGAGCTGAGGAAATTCTCAACCTCATTTGTAAGACATTATACACATTAATTGCACAAATACTTTAAAAATACTTATTTGTTGTTATAAGAGTTACGAAAATAAAGTAGTGATGAGACAGAGTACTGTGAAAGATATATCAGTTGGAGCTAATATAGCTTTAAGGGTGGAGTGGAGAGCAGGAAAGTCTGCCACAGCAAAAGACATCTACTCTGGGGCTTGAATGGCAAGTGGGAGTTCACCAGGACAGTGTTAAGGACTGTGTAGTGTTCACGGCCAAGAAAGAGAAGAAAGAAGACTTGAGGGCAGCCAAGAACTTGATGTGTTTAGGAACTAAAAGAAGGCTATTGTAGCTTGGGGGAGCAATGGGGCGATTATAATGAAAACCTAGGTAGGGAATCAAAATCTACATAGTCTTATAGTCCTGTCTGGAATTTTTTTTTTTTCCCACCACATTCTGAGTATAATGGAAAAGTTAGAACTAGCAACAGAAGAATCAGATAAATGTATGTGAAACATCTTTATGGTCTCTGTGTGAAGTATGTGATTATCTATTAGGAGACGAACGCAGAATCTATCCAAAAATAAAGGTAGTGTGAATTAAGGTGTTAACAGTAAAATTGTGCAAAAACGGACAAAATTACACACACACAATTACTCATACATACAAGAGAAAGACCAACAGGACTTGACTGACTGGCTTACAGGTAGGACAGGAAATAGAAGAGCAAGGAAATATCAAGAATGACACTAATTTTTTTTTCCCCCAAGATGGCAGATTAGAGGCTTTCAAGTGTACCTCACTCAACAGATCATTGCAAAATGTGTGTAAAAACCAACACAGTGAACCCCAATTCAAGAAGGAAAACAGATACTCATTAGAATAGCAAAGGTTACCCTAGATCTCAGGGAGGAGAAGACAGATGAACAGCCCCACAACAGTGCTCTGCAGAGAAAACGGAATGCAACGATGGGACACGGGATGGGACTGAAAGCTACAGTCTGAGACACACCTTCCAATCAGGGAGCTGCTTAACCCAGGCCACAGGAGAACACCCCATTTTTCCCAGTCTTGGAGCTGGTAAGAGGGAAAGACAACCAGTAAAGCCAAAGGTGCTCTCCCAAATTCAGGACGATAAGGAAGGTGCCATTTTTGAGCCAAGACCAGTGTCTCAGCAACAACAACCACTGCAGGCATTTCAGTTTCTGCTCAGAGACAAGGCAGCTCACTCTGGAGAAGGGGGCCCTCACAGCAGGAGCAGGGAGGGTAGCGTAGTGACTGCCCCAGGGTTTGGACTCAGACCTGGGCTTATCCCAGCCACAGACTGAGAGCAGTGAGGGATCCCCCAAAATTAAGTTTCCCTCCTGAGAAAAGAGATAGGCTGCCAAGGTCAGATCTGCGACCCAGAATCAGTCTCTGTGTGTCATTGTCTGGGTGTTCTATCCTGCCCCACCCCTCCAGGTAGTTATGGCAAGGGGCCCCAGAAATACCAGGGAATACCCAGAATACCAGCCTAGACAACAGGAGTCTAGCAGAGGTCCCCATTCCCATGCTACAGAACCTGCACCCCGAGCAAGAGAGTTGCTATGTCAGTTTTGCAACCTGGAACTCTGCAGTGAGCACCACTGCCAAAAGCTCCAGCTTTCTTCCTGAACCAGTTGGGTGATGCTCCCCAGCAATACTGAGAAAAAGGAGGGTCCCCACTCATGTACAATTGGGAAAGCAGTATAAGTGGCTGGAGACCAGCAGGAGGAACTTCATCCCTTTGTACTTGAATCAGTAGCCTGAGAGGCAGGAGAGTTCCTGAAGCCGTGGTTTCTCCTAGGTAGCAAGGCCTGATGCCAAGGTCAACTCTGTCATCTGGAATCAGGCTGGAGGCATTAATGGGGGGGGGTGCGGGGTGTGGATTTGAATGTATAGTTGCTTTATAGCCTCTGTGAGCTTTGTAGTTATGTGATCTTTATCGCAAGAGTTGTTTCATTTCCAAGTTTAGAACTCCTTTGAGCATCTCTTGTTGGGTCAGTTTAGTGGTGACAGATTCCCTTAATGTTCGTTTGTTGGGAAAGGACTTTATTTTTCCTTCATTTATGAAGCTTAGTTGGCTGGATGTAAGATTCCTGACTGGCATTTTTTTTTCCCTATAAGGAAGTGGAAAATATGTTCCCATTCTCTTCTCCTGTTAGTAGCAGCCTGTCCCTCTGGTTTGTTGGGTAAGTATGCCCCCCCTAGTACCAAGGATCAAGCAGAACTCACCTCAACACGCCCAGATTATGAGCCTAACCCACCCCACCCTTCCTGGGCAGTAATCCTTGTGCAAGGAGACCCCCTGTGCTCCACACCCTACTACATCCGTTAAACTGAAGTAGGAGCCTGAGTCACCCCTCCCCTGGGGCTGTGCTGCTCTCCTCTCTCTGCTCAATGTCCAGACATATCCCCAGGTACCTGGAGCTCCCACTCTTATAGATGAGAAGATCAAGCCAACCTTTCATTCCCAGGCAGAGAAGTTGATGCAGCAGAGGCCCCGTAATACCTCGCCAAGGCCCACCTCTGGACTCTAGGAGGCCACATACCAGACCCAGCTTCAGAGCAGATGCCTGTGCCTAACATCAGTGGACCCATAGGTGGGCCTGCCTGGTTCGGCCTCACCCATCTTGATCTCCCTCCCCAGGGCTGAACTAGGAGAACAGACCACAAAGCACTCCACAGACTTCTCACTGCTGAGAAGATAGAGCACGTCTTTCAGTAAACAAGGATCAAGTAAACACCCATCCACATCAACAGTAGCCAGCTCTTACCCATAGGTGCCACTTGCTTGCCTGGAGGTTGAATGAGGCATTGCAACAGGTAATTTGCTGACATAAACACACACCAAGAAGCAAGTTAAGCCTCTTGAGACCTCCAACCACCCCAGCTTCACAAGAAGCAGTGAGCCAGCACACACTGCTACAACCAACACTTGGGAAAGCCTACATACACAGTTAACATATCAAAGAAACTCATACAGATCAGCTGTCAAAGTTCATCAGGATAAGAAAGAACTAGAGCAACAATTCTAAAAGTATTAAAACCCAGCAAAGGAAAAGAAATAAAGATCAGAGCAAAACGAAGTGAGATTGAGAAAAAAAAAAAGCACAGAATCAATTAATCCAAAAAGTGCTTCTTTGAAAAGACAAAATTGACAGACTACTAGCTAGACTAACCAAGAAAAAAGATTTAAATAAATTAAATCATATACGAGATCTGACAATTAGGTTTACAAACTTGCCACCATATGCTTACATTAGGAGCACTGTACAAAGAACCCAGTAAGTTTTCATAACCTCGGCATATCAGTGTTTCACAGTTGTTTTTGTGTCAATGTGTGACAGCATCTTGATGAGTGGTGTTCAATATTGTTGTGTGTTTTGTGTGCCATCACGAAGATGCCAGAGCTTAAATTAGAGCAATGAACAAACATTAAATTTCCTGTTAAACTTGGCAAGAATGGTAGTGAAACTAGGGACATGTTAGTCCAAGTTTATGGGGATAATGCCATTAAGAAAATGGCAGTGTAAAATGGGTTACACGTTTTTCCTAGAAGAGAGAACGCGTCACTGATGAAGTGAGGTCAGGACAGCCAGTGAAGAGTAGAACTGACAAAAACATTGCAAAAATTCATCAAATTGTGTGTCAATATTGTTAGCACACTGTGAAAAGCATAACAGATCAAATAAACATCAATAGAGAAACAGGAAAATCTTAACTGATAATCTTGGCACAAGAAAGTTATGTGCAAAAATGGTCCCTAAGGAGCCCTTGCATCACGAAAATGCACCAGCTCATACAGCACTGTCTGTGAGGGAGGTTTTAGTCAGTAAACTGTGGTGGAGCACCTTCCCTACTCACCTGATCTAGCCCCCCCCAGTGACTTTTTTCTCTACCTGAAGACAAAGGAAATAAAGGAAGACATTTGGATGACATTCAGGATATCAAGGGTAATACAACAACAGCTCTGAGGACCATTCCAGAAAGAGTTCCAAAATTGCTTTGACAGGTGGACTAGGTACCAGCACTGGTGCATAGCTTCCCGAGAGGAGTACTTCAAAGGTGACCATAG